ATCTCTGCTGAAAATGGCATGTCCTCGACTCCCGATTTTACAGACATGCATACTTCTCTATCAGCCTGCATCAGAAGAGAGAACCTTTTGTATGGATGGCTTGTCTTTATGGTAAAGTTGCAAACCCTACTGCATAGAAATTACAAATGGCGAGCCAACTGCAACAGAGCGTTAGCAAATGCTCACCGGGACGCCAGTACTCCTCCTTGAACCCTAGCCATCTCCACCAAAGCGTTTGAGCTTCCTTATAATAAAATGTCACGAGTTACTAGGGTCTCGGGTCACAACAATTTGAGAGCAAATGGTAATAATGCAGATGCTTGCGGCTTGTTACACTATTGAACAATGCATGGGTGAGCCTTGTTACACCATTGAACAATGCAGGGGAGGTCCACAAGACACAGTAGTAACAGCTAAAGCAGCGTTTTCAAAGCAGCTTACAATCAGAATTTTATAAGAATACAGATGCTTGCGGCTTGTTACAACTATCGAACAATGCAAGGGAGGTTTGAGCACATTGTTTTGGAATCTCCACTCCCCAACGACCTTGAAAACTTCTGACAGTGCCTTAAATCCTCAAGCTAGCATGCGCTGCACCAGGTACCTGGGCAGCACTGTGGATGGTGAACGTCTTCGCAGTTTTTAGGAAAGGCTACCAAAGTGATCATCCGCAAGCGCCATGCCCTCCCTCTCCTCCTGATTGGCATTCGAACTCGGTTTCGAACTTATACATTCCGTAGGATTTGGTAACCTGTGTCTTCCCGTTTTCGAACTTTCGGATGCTGGTGCCATGTGCCATGTGCCACGTGCCATGCTAGTGCCATGCTGGTGCCATGTGCCATGTGCCATGTGCCATGCTCCAGCCATGCTAGTGCCATGCTGGTGCCATGCTGGTGCCATGTGCCATGTGCCATGCTCCTGCCATGTGCCATGCTACTGCCATGCGCCATGCTAGTGCCATGCGCCATGCTAGTGCCATGCTCCTGCCATGCTAGTGCCATGCGCCATGCTAGTGCCATGCTCCTGCCATGCTAGTGCCATGTGCCATGCTCCTGCCATGCTCCTGCCATGCTAGTGCCATGCTCCTGCCGTGCCATGCTCCTGCCATGCTAGTGCCATGCCAGTGCCATGTGCCATGTGCCATGCCAGTGCCATGCTAGTGCCATGTGCCATGTGCCATGCTCCTGCCATGTGCCATGTCAGTGCCATGCTCCTGCCATGCTAGTGCCATGTTCCTGCCATGTGCCATGTGCCATGTCAAAGCCATGCCATGCGCCATGCTAGTGCCATGCTAGTGCCATGTGCCATGTGCCATGCTCCTGCCATGCGCCATGCTAGTGTTATGCGCCATGCTAGTGCCATGCTTCTGCCATGCTAGTGCCGTGTGCCATGCTCCTGCCATGCTCCTGCCATGCTTGTGCCGTGCTCCTGCCATGTGCCATGTGCCATGTCAGTGCCATGCCAGTACCATGCTAGTGC